TCCGCTCTAAAAAATCCTCTCCCTTGACGCTCTGTATCCCTGAGCCTTGGTCCCAGAGAATTGCTAATGAGAGAGGTAAACCTGAATTCTGGCTTCAAGTACATGTGCCTGGCACATGGAAGGAAGTGAACAAATATTTTGTGATTGCTACTCAAATTCAGCATTCACCACTGAGCTCTAAGTTCTTTCCTCATTTTGGGGATGATAACTTCACATGTCTACCAACAGCTACTTCAAAATCTCTTGATTCTTCTGAGATCTGCATTCTTACTTGATAAATAACTCCCCATTTCATTTTTAGTGAGCAACTCCAAAGATTTCCTTTTTTAACCTAACATCTCCATTTATTTATTTTTTAAGGATTTATTTATTTATTTGAGGGGGAGGGGCAGAAGGAGAGAGAGACTCTCAAGCAGACTCCCCACAGTATGGAGCCCAATGTGGGACTCGATCCCATGACCCTGAGATCACGACCTGAGCTTAAATCAAGCGTTAAGGCACTTCAACTACTGAGCCTCCCAGGTGCCCCCGCTAACACTGTCATTTAAAAAAAAAATACTTTAACCTTCATTTTTACTAACCCTCTGTCCTTTTCAGCTCAAAGGAATCTGTATCTCCTTTTTTCTCTAAAGCTAGATCCCATCTGAGAGATACGGTTGTTATATTTATTTCCTCTCCCTGGCATCTTCAAACTTTCCCTCCCCATAGACTTCAACCCAACCTGTGTGTTTCTCCTTCACCTTGAAAGAAAATCTCAGTATGATTTTGGTGTCAGCTCTAGCTACCATGTTATTACTCCTCCTTTACCAACATATTTCTTAAAAAGAAGCTCAAGAATAATTGATCACCTGTCTTGAAACCTTGACATGGTCTCTACCCACTTCCAAGATAAGTCATTCTACCTCCTTGCTTGATCTCTGCCTTCACCACTGCCTTTGCTTCTTCTTCCTGTCCCCTAACTCTGAATGCTGAGCATTTCTGAAATTTCAACCTGGGTGTGGAGTTCTTTCTTATGCTACAAATGGTCTGTCTGCTCCTTGGATAATGTCCATACAAATGACACCCCAATCTCTACCTTCCACCTTGTTCTCTCACTCCAGCCCCTGCTGTGTTGTCTTTGATTCCTGCTGAACGTTCCTGCTTGGCTGTTCCGTTTTCTTCCCTCAAATGAACATTTGCCAAACTGAGCTTGTCCTTTTCCTTCCATCCACACTGGGCTCAGCATGCTAAATTCCTCTCCTTCATCAATAACACCAACATTTCCCCCACTTAAGCAGGCTTGGGAACTCCATCATCACTGACATTCCTATCTTTCATTACACATAGTAATCAGTCACTATGACTCAGGGAGATTGTTCTTTGAAAAGACTTAAGCAGCCTTGCCTTTTGCTTTTTCCTATTCCCACACCCATCCGTGATTTATATTAGCTGATGCCATTAGAAAGCTCAAGAAAAACGTGGCATTTTCCTTTTCTCACGTTTTCCCTTCTTGATGGGCCTATAAATTTTTCTCTCTCTGAAAGATATTTTTAGCTCTCAGCTATTTTCAGAACCAATATTACTGATCAATGTGAATTCTAGGAATGGGCAAGTCTTCCATGGCTAATTCTCCCAGATCTGCTCAAGCCCCTTAGGCTCTTAATAAGCCTGACTCAGGAGATTCTCCCAAAGGCAGGGAATATTCTAAAATCGAAGCTGTACAAAGTCATTACAAAACACTTTCAACCACTTGACAACGGCCAGAACTATTCTCACCTGGAAAAGCAGAGATGATTCCCATACATTCTTATCTTGGTGGTCAGAAAAGCAGACCCCTTATTTCTCTCCATAACAAAAGGAGGGCAGAAGCTGTGTTTGCCCCTCTATAAATGTTGCCACGTCTAGCTCTAAACACACACGTTTCTTATGGTTCTAGAGACGTGAGGTCCTCTTGCATGCAATGTCTCCTTGCGGGGTCCTCACAGGCAGAGGGGCAGATCTGGTATCCTCTTCCTTGGAGGGGTACAATCACATCACGAGGGCTCTATATTCGTGGCCTCATCTACACTCGATTCCCTGCCCAAAGCCCCCACTTCTAAGTACCATCACATGGGGATTAGGGCTTCAGCATATGAATTTTGGGGAGACACAAACACTTAGACCACAGCAAGGTTGCCCAAACCCAACTCATTATTTCCTCGGCTCTCTCACCCTGTCTGCATGCCCCAGCTTCCTCTTCCCATTCCTCCAATCTCCTGTACCTCAGGGAACAGTGGACCATCCACCAGGGCCCAAGCCACATACCCATGAGTCCACGTACATCAACCTCTTGTCTGAGCCCAGCCATCACTAGGACTTTGAAACCATAAATCTGTCATTTCCATCAACTGCTCTCAAGTACGCTGCTATTGCCCTGCGTTCAGCTGACATTGGTTCTCAGTAGCTTCGCTCCACATCCCTCTGTGTCCACACTTGCTCCAGGCCCGTCATGCTCTACAAAACCTCCAGAAGAACCTTCCAAACCCAAAAAGCCAGTCATGGCACTTCCCCAGTAAAACCTACCTTTCTTATGGTGCCTGGGTGGCTCAGTCAGTTAAGTGTCTGCCTTTGCCTGAGGTCATGATCCCAGGGTCCTGGAATCAAGTCCCACAGGCGCCTCCCTGCTCAGCAGGGAGCCTGCTTCTTCTACCTCTCCTTCTCATTCTCCCTCTGTTTTCCCTCTCTCTCTCAAATAAAAATCTTTAAAAAACAAAAACAAACAAACAAAAAAACTACCTTTCTTTCAAGCCATTCCTTTCTCCTCTCTACTCTCAATTCCTTCCATACCCAAGTCCAAGTTTATGTTCTTGCTGCACAGAATCACTGCAGGCCACCAAAGGTCCCATATCCCTTCCTACCTCTGTGGGTTAGGCTCATTCTCCTTCCTCTGCTTGATATTCCTCCATCAGTTTGTCTATCCAGAAGTCTCCAACTGACCCTAGAAAACCCAGTTCAAACACTACTGCCTTTCAGGCACATTCCCTGACCTCTGCAGACTGGCCTGGACATTCTACCTTCCACATGTTTATGGCATCACACACAGCTCCAAAAATCAGTGTTCTCACCATTGCGTAATGGCTTGTTTGCAGGAATATCCTCCAGCACCTAGACTGGATACTGCACACCATCACAATAATGATGATAATATAATAATAATAATGATGATGATGATGATGTTATTATAACATGTTACCTATATACTATATTAACATTAAATGTATTATGTTAATGATAATATATTAAAGTTTTTTCTCTTGTTTCTAAAAATTGTTATTAATGTTAAATCTTTGTTAGAATTCAGGTCCTTTTGCTAAGTCATTTATTAGTATGAACCATGTAAAATTGCTATTTTGTTGGTCTAAATGGTCATATATTAATGATTTCATGTAGCTTGACTTAAAACATTCATTTCCCCCTTCACAACACCCCTAAGAGGTAGGTATGTTATATGTTTATAACCCTCATTGCATGGGTAAGAAAACTGAGGCTCACAGGTTTTATGTAACTTTTCCCAAGGTTATAGGAACAAGAGAGGGAAGGAGCCAAGACTCTAATCCAGAACTGCCTGACTCTCAGTGGTCTTGCTCATGATGATATCCTGACTCCCAGAACTATTTAATTGTGTAATCTACTGATGAAGCAGTGACATGGGGGCCCCGGAGATATGATGATGGTTGGCTACATAAAGATGTCTTTGTTCAGCAAATCCAGAATGGATAAATCCTGATGTTCCTGTGGCAGCTGAAATAGGTTTCTCTGCAGGAAGCAAAGGATGGTAAATACTGAAATGAGTTAATAAGGAAGGTTATGGAATCTCCTTCAAAGGAAGGATTTCTTCCCCCAATGGAGGATAGAGTCTCATCTGTATGAGATGGTTTAAATATAATCCTTTGTGAAGGTCAATAAATTGGGTTCAGAGTCCTTTTCAGGCTCCTTATGATACTCAGACACACCACCAGCTTACTGTGGCTCAGCATGTGGCCTGAGAACAGGAGGGTGCTGATCCCCCAGCCAGAAACAATCTCTCTCCCTCAGCTCTCCGACTCAGCCTTCTTTGGGACATAGGTAGTGACTTTTTGTATGTCATTCTGCTTCTTTCAAGAGAAAAATGCATCAAAAGCATAAAACATGAGTGGTTCATTTTGGTATCTTCATACATTTAAGACTTTTGATTAAATGGAACTTCTTTCCTCTTCTGAAAGAATCCTGTAATATCAACTAAAAAGAAGTCCCTGATTTTTGTATAAAATCTACTATAAAAACTCGGCAACTCATACTATGAGAACAAAGTTTTCTTAAGTGTGCTTTTTTTCCAATCATTATCAGATATAACATAATTGTTTCTCTTTCCCTCAGCATCATTTTAAAATATGGTCATTTGGATGTTAATTCCCTCCAGGTAAAAAGTCTGGAAGATGAGCCAGCATTTCAGTCAGTAAGAAGGACATCTAATTAGATCATGAATAGAAAATAACACATCCAGGGGAGCCTGGGTGGCTCAGTTGTTAAACGTCTGCCTTCAGCTCAAGTCGTGATCCCTGGCTCCTGGGATCAAGCCCCCACATCAGGCTCCCTGCTTAGCAGAAAACCCGCTTTTCCCTCTTCCACCACCCCCCAGCTGTGTTCCCTCTCTCACTGCGTGTCTCTCTCTCTCTCTCTGCTAAATAAATAAATAAATAAATCTTGGGGGGAGGGGGAGGAAAGAAAATAACACATCCACACATCTAAGCAAGTGTTCAGCAATTACTGGTTAGAGGTTCTACCACCTCAAAATAATGCTAATGGAAAAGTTTTTTTCCCCATAATTGTCCCTCCACAGAAGCATGATTTCTCACAACAGTAATGAATAAGTGAATAAAACACTGCTCTAGACGCTTATGCTCAACAAAAATAACAATAACAACTACTTGTATGGAACATTAAAATAAAAAAAAAATTCTACCAAATACTCTAGCTCATTTGAACCATATAACAATCCTTACCATTTATGTCACTACTTTAGAAGATATTTACAGGAAACTTGGATCGGAGAGATGAAGCAAATTGCTGTGAGTCACAAAGCCAGGAATAGCAGAGTCTAGACTAGAACCCAGGCGTTTTCCTGATTCCAAATCTCATGATCTCTCTACTGCATCTTTTTGTCCACATGGCCAATCTTAAAAAAAAAAAAAAAAAAAAAAAAGAAAATAAAAAAAAGCATTTCTAACTCAGCAGTATAGAAAATCAAGAGCCAAAGAAAAATGGCCAGTTTGTGAAAAGAGGCAGATTTTCTTAACTTTGATAATTAAGCTTGAACATTAATTCCTCACACTTAAAAAAAATACCAATACTTACATTTATTGAGCATTGACATCTTTGTGCTATACTAAGTGCTTTATATGGATTAATTCATCTCATCCTTACAAGGAGTCTAGAATTTGGCCCTCTTCTGATTTTACTAATGTAGAAACTAAAGTTTAAGCTATAAAACCTTTGCTTTCCCAAGGTCACATGGTTGGGAAAGTTAAGTGGCAGAGCTATGGTCTGAACCCATATCAGCTGAACCTAGAACCTAGGCTCATAACCACCAGGCTAACCTGCTATGCTAGTGGTTCTCAAAGCTTGGTCCTGGACAGGCAGCATGGGCAGCCCTGGGAACTTGTTAACTTGTTAGAAAAACAAAATCTCTGGCCATACCAGACCTACTCTGGGAAAGGAATACAGCAATCTGTGTTTTAACAAGCCCTCCAGGTGCTCCTAAGGCACATGAAAATCTAAGAACCACTATGCTAGACTGGAACAAGAGTAAATGGTAACCATTTGCAAGGAGTCAGTGTACGTTCTGTGCTATTAGGGAATACAAGAAGGAAGTGAGAGAAGTTGAAGACAACTAATAAGCTGTTGACAATGAAAGTCTTCAGGGAATAGTAAAGCCAAAAAGGGAAGAAATAACCTTAACTAGTGTACACAGAAGCTGAAAATACCAATGATGAGCAATTAATCAGGCAATATGTTACACTGTAATCAAGGATCAGAAAATTCCGGAAGGACTAAATGATAGAGTTTATTACTGCATAGTAAATGATCATTAATAAACTGTGGCTGTTAAAAGAACTAAAGAGATGAATAATCACATATGTCAACTGTAGAAGGAATAACTTGTGATCTTAATCACTTGGAAAAATTACAGGTATGGACACATACAGAATCAAAAGAATGAGATTAGCAGTGCTATTAGAACCTAGCACAGGGGCACCCGGGTGGCTCAGTGGGTTAAAGCCTCTGCCTTCAGCTCAGGTCGTCATCCCAGGGTCCTCTGATAGAGCCCCACATTGGGCTGTCTGCTCGGCAGGGGGCCTGCTTCCCTTCCTCTCTCTGCCTGCCTCTCTGCCTACTTGTGATCTGTCTGTCAGATAAATAAATAAAATCTTTTAAAAAAAAAAAAAAGAACCTAGCACAAACTTGATAGCTCTTTTTATATAAAATCAAGATAGTTACAAAAGGCACCAGGCACTTTGACCTGGAGAACATTTCAACTGCTAAAATAATGAATTTATGTAATTATATTAGCACATCGCATTAATCCCTACCTGTAGTAACAAGAATTTACTTTGCTGGAATTGTTAAAATGCAGAGATGACTTGACTTGGAAGTGATCTGGTTATACTTAGGATTTTATCCAGCTTATGACCTCTGATGATGTATAACTTTTCTGAAGGATTAACTCTGTACATGAGTGCTTCCAAAGAGAGGACCAAGAGTAGCTTCCCAGGGCTTGTCATTCCAGTATCCTTCATTACATCTCAAGAGGACTACTTTTTCAAAGTGCCATGTAGAGGAAATGAAAAATGATATCAAGAACAAAAATACCCACAGGTGAGTGTAAAAATAAAAAGGGTTCCAACAAAGACACCAAAAGTCATTAGACAACAAAACTGTGGGTTATTCCTTTCACTTGATGGCTACTGATTTGAGGTCTCTCTCTTTTTTAATCTCTATAAGTTGTTTAAAAGGAAGCAGCAGATGAAAGAGAATGCATTAATTGAAGTTGTCAAGGAAACATTAAAATCGTCTAACTGGACCTTATGAGAAGAGGTCATAATTACCATGGAGGAAAGGTATGCTCTTCGCTACCTTACTGTTTTGTTGCAATTCTCCATTCTCCTATCAAGAAAAATCAGCTCAAGTAACTAAAACGTATTCACTACTTACTATGTGCTGGTAATCATTCTAAACTTGACACATACATTTTCTCTTATAATTTTCATAGCAACTCTCTGATGTATGTTTTCTTATGCCCATTTGACATTCTACACATAAAGATGAAGGCTGAGAATTAAAGATATTCTCCAAAGATGGCCCCAAATAATTCAGCTCCTCCCTCTACATGAAAGCTACACCTCCTATAGAGTAGTAGAGTTTCTATTCCCTCCCCCTTGACTCTATGCTGGGTCTAAGACTGATTTGTCCAATCAAATGCAAAGAAAGAAATATTATGAACCGTTCAAACCACGGACTAATTAGGACTGGCAGCGTCTACCTTTTGAAATCCAGCCACCATGTTATAAGGAAGCTGAAGTAACCACATGGGGAACAATCAAGACCTCTGGTTAGCAGTTTCGGTTGAGTTCCCTGCAAACAGTCAGCATTCACTTGCTAGTTATGTGACTGCACCATCTTGGAAGTATATTCTCCCGAGTAAGTCAAAACACTCCAGCCAATGGCACATGGAACAGAGATGAGCTGTCTCCATCAAGCCCTACTCAAATTGCAAAATCGTTGTTGTTTTAAGCTACTAAGCTTATTACACTGCAATTATTACACAGCAAGAGATAACTAAAGTATTGAACTACCCAAGGTTACACAGTGGGACAATTTAACATCACACAGGCCATACTTTTCACTCTCAAATACATTAAGAAGCTGCAAATTAGGATGTGCAAAGAAAGGTTTCCATAGAGGGACAGGGGTGAATGGATGATGTGCTTACATGGGCACTGTATTCAACAACTAGTCACTGAGAACCTGTGAAGTCTCAGCTACTGAGACCAGGTGCTACAGATACAAAGATGAATAGTCAAGAGTTGAGCTAAAGCTCCCTGCAAAGCCACTAAGACAAATTACAATACCAGACAACACGATCAAACAGATGTAAAATAATGGGTAGATACTTGGGATTACTTGGTGACACGAGTTAATACCCTTGACTTTCACATCCAACTGAAGGCATGGAATCACAGGGCAAGATTTAGAATGACCTTGGAGTTGGGGCAAAAGTGCAGGTAAACTTGCACGATAGATTGATAACAACAATGCAAAATGTGTGTGTGTGTGTGTGTGTGTGTGTGTGTGTGTGTGTGTGAGAGAAAGGAAGGCAAAATATAATGAGTATTGGAAGAAGGAAAATTTCAGTCATTCAAATTTGCATTTGTGAGCGCTGCCCCCACCCCACATACACACAGGACTCCTATGGCAAGGTCATGCAAATATTGTGACCAAACTGAATGTCATAGAGTTCTTTAAAAATAGTTCCAGGACCTCTAGTTCTAAGATGGAGTAGCCCCAGTTCTCCCTTTTACACAGGCAGAGGTCCTCTCTTCCGCAGGTAAGAATTCATGAACCTAACAGCACAAACAAGCTGAAAGACTTGAAAGGCGGGAGGAAGACAGCCTGCCTGGGAATCTCAGGCCTTGAGGAACCACATGGCACCACCCCTCCCCCATATGTCCCAGACATGGTGCCACAGAAGCCTAACTAGAAACCACCAACCATCAACACGCACAGACCAAAAACAAAACAAAACAAAAACTACCCCCCCACACACACACCCCCAAAAAACTCTAAGAAAAGCCTATTTTTCCCTAGCCAAAAGACTAGGAAAACAGTAGCCTATCAGCAGAAAACCTCTTTGGCAATACTGCCTCCCTCTAGGAAACTGGAAAAGAAAAACTGCGTTTCTCCCACCCCCGTGGTTTTAGGAGGGCTGAATAGGGAGCTGATCTTCCACCTCCACCCTACTCTCCCCACCACATCGGTAACTGGGCGCGCACAGATTCCCCAGTGAGGTCCAGTGACCTGCAAAGGCTCCCATCCCTACTGGGTAGTGAATCTAATACCGCACCACCCCTGTGTCTGTGGACCTGGTGGAGAGCTGAACCTCTATGCCCACCGGGCATCCATCCGGCGGTGAGAGGAAGTATGGGGTGGGGGGAGGTTAGTTAGCACAGTGGTTAGTTAGCACTCACCACTTATCCCCCCTTCCCTTCCATTGAAGTCAAGGATGCCCAGTGTCTGCCCCACTCTGCAGCAAAAGCAGGTGAGTCAGCCCGCTGCCCACCACAACCCCTCTACCTCCCGGTGACAACAGTATACAATGTTACCATATCACAGAGAGGCAAAAGAGATAGCACACACTGATGCCCTGCTTTCTCCAGGAAGGTGTCAGTAGGACTAAATGGGGAGCTGAACTCCCACCCTACACTCCTGTAAGGAAGCAGTGTGAGTCATCCTTCTACTTCTGGTACTGGCAGAGCCCATCAGGAAGCTAGACATATACACCCATCCAGCCCTCAAGCTACATCTCAACAGGGAGACTACCTACCAGAAAAAGAGATTAAATAGGATCCAAAGTCTCATAAAATAATATACAAAATGGCCAGGGTACATTAAAAAACCATGCAACATACCAAGAACCAGGAAAATCACAACTTAAATGAGTAAAGACAATCGTCAGCCACCAACACTGAGAGTAATCTGTATTAGAATTACCTGACAAGAATTTTAAAGCAGGCTTCATAAAAATGCTTCTACAAGCAATTACAAAGTCTCTTGAGCCAAATGAAAAACGAAAACAATTATTAACGACGTTATCTCTTACATTATTAACTTTATATAACTGGCAATTATGGTTATGTCACCTTTCCCTCCTCAAGGTACACAAGTTGTTTACTCCGTAATGTCCACGGTATCACAACTACTTGAGAGTATTTATAGTGCTGGCCCTCATTTTCCAAAGAATCTAAGAAATGTTATGCAACCAAATCTTCTAAGGGATCCACAGCCAACATGATGTTGTTGGAAGAGGTCACTGAAAGGACATTACTGCTGGTTGACCTCGGAGCTGGACCCTGACAACTGGAGGTTCCTCACCCCTCATCCCCTGTCCTTGGAA